ATATCAGTAGTATAATGAACATCAGGCATTATAGTCAGAAGTACCTAGGCACAGGCGATATACAGAATCTGACCAAAGGGAATTGTGAACACCTAGAACATTACAAAGATCATTTCATATTATATTCAGCATTGCAAAAGTATTTCTAAATGAGAACGGTACTTTTTCTACGGGTCCTTTTTGGAGTGGGGTCTTGCTTTCTGCAACTGTGAGGCTGTACATAGCATAATGTGTATTATTCTAATGCAGGGGATGTCTAAATCGCTGCTGTATTTTTTGCATACAAAGCACAATTGCACTATTAAATATTATTCTGGAAATACATCTCTTGAGTAGTCTGATCTCGGCTTGGCTGTTGCTGCTCTGTTACCGGTCCTGAAGCTCATTCTTCAGATCTGATCAAAAGGAGCTGGCAGAGTTCCCGTGTTGTGATTAATTCCTCACTCAGTAGCATCTCTCCACAACACTTTGTGGTGGGGGCGGTTTTCTTTCGGAAATTGTGCAGTGAACCAGTCTTCTGCCTATGTGTGGCGGAGCAGGTTACTATTTGTGCTACTATTGCTTTTATTTACTAGATTGTTTTTCTTCTCTGTGATTGGATGCATTTCCCTGTATCGGTTGATTAACATTAGGACTCTAGAAAGGGGAAGAGATAATACATCTAACCATGAATAGCCTAACCTTGAATCTTTGCACGGTTACGGATTTATTCTTTACATATATTCTCTAGCAGCATACAGCAGCATCTTTTTGACCAGATAAGAGATATTTGCAATCTTTGGTCAGAATACTTTAGCTGTTGAAAGCCTCATTGATTTTTAACTGTGACAAGTTTTTGATGACAACTGTGAGATTTTCTGTTTCTGCTTAGTTGCTTGTAATTGTACTTTGTACCCGCTGGGGCAGCTTTGCCTGCCATTTCTGTAGTGATTCTACACCAGATAATGTAGGGGACTTCACTCTGTTGAAAACAGTGGAGTTATTACTGTTGTCATTGAGAGTAGATTGTAGACCAAAAATTGAGGACTTGGATTTGCAAGCTGTCCTGCTAATTGTTTGCTGCTTTTGCCTGAAATGTCTAAGGCTTACTGATTGATTTTAAGTGCTCGTGATTGCTCTGGGTTCGGGTACGTTGGCTTAACTACTTGTAATGAAATGTAATTTTGGAGCGGGACCTGGGAACAAACAAAAAAAAAATCTCCACTTGATTTCCTTCTGTATGAATAGTTCCATTCAGCTATGCGGGGGATATATTGGTGCCACTTACTATATCTGTGCTGGAATGTTTCTGTGACATTTCTTTATTACTGTTGCTGTAGCTCTCTGGTAATAGTAGAAGTGAAGTGCCAGTCATATAGAGCGTTATTGTTACTACCATGAGGTTGCATAACTTTGCTAAGAGCTAATCTAGGCATAAAGAGGTAAAAATACTATTCCTCTGCAGTTACTGATTTAGGTAACTACTGGGGACAATGTGCAGAGAGAAGATTTTACTACAAAATGTCGAGAGACATGGGATTCCGCCATTCTACCTACAGCACAGGCTTGAGGAAGACACTATTTTAATAAAAAAACCATATTGATATACTTCTCTTTTCCAAAACAACTTTTCTGACAAAAAGACTTTGTAGTTTTCCCTTAAATTTATTGAATCTATGGTTTCAGCTAAAGCTGTGGTATTCCCTTGCCAAACCTGTATGTTGTAATGCAGTGTTTTCCCTTGTTTCTACAGCTGTCTGAGCTCAGTGCTGAGTACCAGTGCTAGAAAGAGGATTTTGGCTGGTAGCGTCATGGGAGTTGGTTATTAACATTGCCAGTTTTTACCTAGTCAGGCAGAAATACATAGTAAACAGGTTGCAAACATGGCTGTATTGATAGCAGTGGTGAGGAAAAGATTCCTTGTTTGGAGATTCAAGCCCTGCTTGCAGGCTTTGGTGTGGGCAGGATCTACTGTTTAGCAAGACTTACTGACATTTGGTAGAATATGATTTCACGCCAAGAATACCTGTCAGCAGTCCTAGAGATGTCTTGGTCAATACTACAGCTATCTAGGAGATTTCTAAGAGAACCACTGTTTATTTCCATCAGCAATCCCAAAAGTAATTTCACAAATGGAAGTAACTTGGGAAGACTCCTCTTGAGTTGAACATCTCAGTATTTCTGAATATGTATTTTGTCTGAATTCTCAATATATTTTGTCACAGCTTAATTTCCCCTTCCAAAAGAAACTATTTCTTTGTACTCAAAATTCATTAACCCTCCCTTCCCCCCTCCCAAACACTTCCAAATAGGAAGAGGAAACAAATGATGGGCTGACAATATGACTGCTTACCCATGCAGCACAATCTCCATGGAAACAGACTGTCCTAGAATAGCTCAATCACATGAGGGTTACATGACATGAATAAAGTAACCAGAAAACTGGAAAATATCTTAGAACTGGAGATACTTGCACTTAATTCATTACCCCCCAGGTCTTTGAAGAGTAGCTAATAAACAAAGCTAGTATTGAAACCAATTTAGTACACGCATATCATAATTTGTAAGTGATAGGATACTGGAAAATTAACATGATCTTCACTTAAGGGCTGTTTATTGTTTCCAATTTAGGAGACATTTAGAATGAATTTTGAATAATTTTCCACATGACCTCCTGCTTCTTGGAATTGGTACCAGTGGTTTGCAGCATTGCCTTAGTGGATCCTAGTGGATTGCCTCCCTTTGTGTCAGCAGGCACTGACCATTTCACACTTTTTAGGACATTTTGGATATTCTAAAGAGTAAATACAGTAGTTGAAGTAGGAACTGCCTGTGCGTAGAAGGAATTGCAAAATTGCCTTCAGAATGTTTCCTCCTAGTTAATAATGTACTCATAGGACAAGGAGATTCATTGAGTGTAACCATATTCAATACAAAAATGAATATATTTCACTGACGATTAGTTTTCTGTCTGTAAAGCCAGTGTTTATAATGTGAGTGTTGTGACAGAGTCATTGAGAAACCTGTTATACAAATCTGATATAAACAAATAAATATTCTACCAATTCACCATAAAGTAAATTACAGCTAGGTAGGGAAAAAAAAATCATTAGTCATTGCATCATTAGAATATAGTAGCCCTTTCAACAGTGCAAGGATACTGTAATTTCTATGGGCAGGCAAAGATCACCGATTACCCTTTTCCTGTTTGTCCAATCCCAGATCACATTATTTGTCACAGCTTCCACTTCTGAGATAAAGTTTTGTAATAAGCTTTTTTGTCTGTTGTATGAATGAAGACCATAAAGTCATTACGCATTTATATTAGCACATTTGCTGTCCTCGTGCCTCAAATGGGAAACAGCATCATTTCCATCATCTGTCTCCCGGCAGAGGCCGAAAACAGGCATTGGTCATTACTCAGTGAAAGGGGAATGAACATTAGTTTGAAGATTGAGATCCTCAAGATTGAACTCTGATCATTACAGGACTGTAATACACAGGAAGAAAACCCATAGTTCTCAGCTGTAAGAGACTCCGTGCCGTTTCGGACAGTCTATGTAAATAGTTTTTGTATTGGTTATGACTGATCATGTTCAATACAACATTGCACCCTTACGTTAAGCCATTTTCAACTCTCAGTAAAGTTTTTGATATTCTCATTAAACGCATTTCTGATTTATGAAGTATCTTTAGATGGGTAGTCATTTAGGGCTGTTTGTCTAACTTACAAAAGAGCTACCGATAGTTTCTCCGCTTCTCGCTTTATATCTTAAACACGTCACATAAGCTACATGACTAACGCTATTGCCTGTTTATACGGTGCTTTTCTTCCATATGGTCATACCACGCAAATGGAAGTCTTGCTCTGAACATTTTCACCTAGGCATGCTGCTCGCATCAATGAACATAATCCTGCTGGAACCTGCAGCACTAACTGTGCAAGCGAAGGTTAACAGCGTCAGGTTTCGTGTCTGGCGCATGTAGCGTTTCCTTCAGGCTGCCCTTACAGGGCAGCAATCGCTGGGGCAGATTGTTCATTTAAAGATTACATTGTTAAAAATTTCCTTTGCCCTGCTTCGCTTAATAAAAGCAAATGCCGTAACATACATCTTTTTAAAGCACCGAACCCGTGTTCTTCCTAAAACTGAATTGGAACTCGTCCAGGCTTTTGGTCCCGATGGTGGAGTTGGGATGTGGTGTGTTCCTAGAGAGTTCACCACTGTTCACTCTCTGGATCGGGGAAGGCGATGCTCTGGTTTTTGTTGGTTGTTTCCTTTGAAAGGCTTTCGACTTGCTAAGAAGCACGAGTCATTCATTTTTGATTAGTTGATTGATGACACTGCATGTGTGCACCGTTGTTACAGAACATGGGATTTCTCTAGCGAACCATTCCCATTTGCAAATGCAATCTAATACCTGGGCTTTGGAGGAGGATGAAAGGAGTGAATATTATAATTTGCCTATTGACCGAGCATGAAAACAAGCTTTTCCTTTTTAAAAAAGAGCGCAATGTTTATTTTCCTGGGGCTGCTTTATCCTTAAAAAACCAAGTGGTTTTGACTCTGCCTTTATTCCAGTAAAAGGAGCAAGGCTGTGAAACAGTCTAATTCTGATACAGCTTGCACTTGCATCAGGCCCAGTGCAATTTACGCATACTTTAAGCACCTGAATTTGAACAGTAAAGTACTGTAGATAATGTTATTTTTTTGCAACAGGATAAACAATTTCTTCTGGTTGTGTTTTAGGATATTTGCAGGGGCTGTGTTTGGAAATGTTGTTTTCAATCTGTGCAAACACAGAAATGAGTCAGTTTGCGTTCTGAGTACAAGAGGCAAAAGCAGCTTTCCGGGAGGGCGGCAAAGGGGACTAGGGGTGGGCTATGCCAGCTGCAGATCCAGTGCAAAAAACCAGTAAACACGGGCTATTGCAACAAGCTGTGCTTCCAATTGCTGTGAAATCCTCCCTCCAAAGTGAACTGTAGCTAAACAAACAAATATTTTGTTGTCTCAGACAGAAAAATGAAAACCTACCCAGCCATTGGTTTCTTCCTCCTCTTCGTGATCAGCTATGGCTCTTCTGAAAACTCAAGTACATCTAGAGGGTGCGGACTGGATCTTCTCCCTCAGTACGTTTACCTATGCGACCTGGATGCCATTTGGGGAATAGTTGTGGAGGCAGTGGCGGGGGCAGGCGTGCTGACGACGTTACTGCTGATGCTGATTTTGCTGGTGAGGCTGCCCTTCATCAAGGACAAGGAGAAGAAGAGCCCCCTGGGAATGCACTTCCTCTTCCTTTTTGGGACTCTCGGACTGTTTGGGCTGACGTTTGCTTTCATCATACAAGAAGATGAAACGGTGTGCTCTACCCGAAGATTTCTGTGGGGAGTTATCTTTGCTTTGTGCTTCTCGTGCTTGCTAGCTCAAGCCTGGAGACTTCGTAGACTAGTTCGACATGGGAAGAGTCCATCTGGCTGGCATCTAGCTGGTGTGGCAATCTGCCTGATGCTCGTTCAGGTCATTATTGCAACCGAGTGGTTAATACTGACAATTGTCAGAGATAATAAGTTGGCCTGCAGCTATGAACCGATGGATTTTGCTATGGCTTTGATTTATGTTATGTTCCTGATGGTATTTACCATGGGATTTTCTCTTTTCACTCTATGTGGAAAGTTTAAGAAATGGAAGAAAAACGGAGTATGCCTCATTATAACACTTTTTTTTTCCATTCTGATTTGGGTAGCCTGGATGACTATGTACCTCTTTGGTAATGCTGAGCTAAAGAGAAGAGACAAATGGAGTGATCCCACTCTTGCTATTGCACTGGTGTCCAGTGGTTGGGTGTTTGTTATTTTTCACGCCATCCCAGAGGTCCACTGTACCATCCTTCCATCACAACAGGAAAACACTCCCAATTATTTTGATACTTCACAGCCAAGGATGCGTGAAACTGCTTTTGAGGAAGATATACAGCTTCCTCGGAGCTACATGGAAAATAAAGCCTTTTCAATGGATGAGCATAATGCAGGTAAGAATTTACTACAGAGGACTATATTTTTCTGTAGTAGCCAAGAAAATCATCTGTATGAGACATTTTTCAGGTGTTCAAAACAAGGGTCATTACAAATGCCACGTTTTTCACACTACATAGTGTTCCCTTTTACAGTTTTCATTAAGATATCATCTAGTGGGGGAGAAAAATGAAAAAATGCAATACAGAAAATATGTCTTTGGTTAAAATGGTTCTTCTGCATGTTGTTTTTTCATTGCAAAACTGAACAATTTCAAATGCAAAGCCAACACTGAAAGCCAGAAAAATTCACTGTGGAAAAAACAGCCTCTATTTTAAAATAGTTTAAATGACATTTTTTGTCATTACCAGTTAACAACATTTAATATGAAATATTTTCCAAAACCCCAAGAAAAAAATCAAGTAAGTGCTCTGTGTTGCAAAATGCTCAGCCTCCTGAGCAGCAAAATAATTATTATTAATTATATTTCCATTAAAATGGGATTTAGTGCCACTTTGTGACACTGGGGGGGGGGCAGGAAATGCAGTGGTGTGTAGACAAGTTCACAGACAGGCTTTGTTCTGCCAGCTTTAACGTCTGAACAGAGCATGCATAGATAGAGGTTTCCAGGCAGTGGTTGCTTTCCTTGTCATAGCTGTTTGGTGATACACAACAATGTGTGATGACACATCATTAAAATCTGCACTGAAGATGTTTTTGAGCTAAGACTGAAAGGGCCAGCAGCAACTGTTAGCTTAAGAGATCCAAACGATTGCTGAATGTTTAACCCATATCAGAAAATACACAAGGATGCTTATCTGACTGGCAGTGGGAAGCATGAGCCCAGTGGTGTTCTGCAGTGTGGGTTGTGGTCTGGTGCTGTCCCACAGTTGGATGAAGGATTTCAGTACTAGTCACGCTGCTTTTTATTCACTCTGATTGAGAAGAGGACCTTGGTATCCCAGCCAATAGTTGCCACATTGCTTTGGCAGCACCCAGCAGAAGGCTTGGGGCACGTTGTCCAGGCACTTCACCTTCCTATTCATCTTTATGTAGCTTTGATTTCCTTTGGGTTTGATGTTTCCTCTGGATGTAGACCAGACATGGAGGAAAATAGCATTCTTGTTTGGCACAGTGTTGGGTCAGGAAGGCATTTTTCCTCTAAGTGTTTTAGCAGGAACTTTAAAGCTCTCCTTCTAGTATGGAAGCTTTGAACAGAAACGAGTTAAGTTCTGTGAATATGTACGAAGGGCAGTGGTAAAACAAACAAAAAATCACATGGATAACAATGGTTGTTTATTAGTGATGTTCCAGAGCACCAGAGGCAGCTTCATGATGGACTGTAAAAGCACTTTTTTTTTTTTTTTTTTTTTTTTAAAAACTGTCCTCCATCCCCCATTAAATTAAATTCATAGTAAGGTTAACTGCAGTTTCTTCAGTGGAGCTATTTCTGTCTAAGGCAGACCTAAGAACAAAATTGGATCTTTCACTCTGTATTATTCCCATTCATGCATACATTTTAAAAAAGAACTGGAAGCTCCTTTTTGATCTAATCACTCCGTGATTAAGTTTTTTAGTGAGGTGGATAGATGTATGATAGCTATAAAATCATTAGTGTCTATTACAGTGCAATTTATGTTCTGTTTTAATCTGAATCTTATGCAGTACAATACAAAATAGATTTCCTTAGCTGATGCCCTTATTAATATTTACCATAATAAATGCATGTCATTCCTATTCCTGTGGCATGTGGGAGAAGGATACATACCTTTTTAATAAATCAAAACAGATTCATTATTCCTTTGCAGCGGCTCTTTCAGTATAGACTTATGACAACAAGGTTTGAAGACAAAACTTAGTAGTGTGATAGAGACTTAAAGTAAATACAGGTAATAATATTCAAGTCACATATTATGGCTGCTGAAGTGTTAATTGAAGTCAGATCACTGTACTGATGGTTGTCAGTGGCCAAGCACCTGGAATCTATTAGCAATTGGCTCTCTGCAGGTATGTAGAGAATGTTCTCTTCTTGTATTCATTTAATTAACCTCAATTCAAGAATTCATCATTAAGAGTTTAGAAACTAAAGGAGGGGTACTTTCTTCAATTATACTTAAGAACAATGTTTAAGAATATAAGATCTACTAGTTGTAAAATTTTGGAAAACATGATAACCAGAAAACACGTCTTAGTTCCCTGATTGTAATATTTGTTTCAGTAAATAGTTAGCTTTAAATAGAAAACATGCTTGGATAAACGTATTTTCCATTCGTTCTTGTTATTTCCATTAATACTTGTATAAGGTAATTTAGTAATTTTGCTCTTTTTTTCTTTTCTTTTTTTAAGATTTTAAGCAGCATTTTAAGAATCTGAGCAACCTTTAAACTATAGGTTCAAACAAGCATATGTTCTCCTGGTTTCTCTCTTTCTTAGCAAAATGTAGCTCCAAGTTATATGTAACAGCAAGAACTGTTCTGGGAATATCATCAAACATTAATAAAGCGAAAGTATTTTGAACTCAGTTACTTAAACATTATTTAAGCAACATACTAATCTGGGATTTTAATATTCATATGATATGTAAGTTGAAATATCTACTTAAAAGACTTATTTTCATACCTGTGTTTTGTAAAAATGTTAGTAAAGTATTTGGAAACCCTGGAAAAAGGTAACTTGAATCAGTTCTCAGTGCTCTCTGGAAGTGCAGTGCACACCAGTAGGGCAGCTTCTGTAAGGCAAAGGGAATTCGCTCACGTATGAAAAATCTGGATGTGAAATGTAGAATGCTACAGCTGTCAAGAAACCCAAGCCTAAGCAGCTCTGGTACTCACTGAATTTCATTTAATAACTTTTAGTACTACAAGGGGTCACCCTCAGAGCCAATGCCTAAAAACAAAGTTAACAAAATTTAAAGTATGTGTTAAAAGGAGACTTTGATACAGCATTTGCTCAAATCTTCTTGGTGCTATTTTTTTTTTTACCTATACGTACTCTACACAAGTAGATGTATTTAATAGTAATGGAAAAAATATAAGGAAAAATGGTAAAACTGGTATGAGAAAAAAATTCCAAAATGAGTATTTTATCCACAAGCTTTGCCTCTGATACTCATGTTAAAAGAATTTTAGACTTACTGTAATAATAGGGAAGGAAAATTTAGCAATATGAAATTGAATTTACTGGCTCTGTAAGATAACTTTGAAATGACCATGGAAATTATGTGTAAATATTTTGCGTAAATGTGTAAATATTTTAATGATAGTATGCATTATAAAGAGCTTTTTTTTCTTTATGTGTACTAGCAAATACCAGTGCAATCATTTGTGTTTAACGCTCAGTAAGAAGCCAAACTACAAAGAAAGACTACTGCTGACCCCGAGATGGTTAAATATAAAATAAAAAATACGTAATTCTAGTTCAGGCATTTTCATCTTTGTTCTCCTAGTGTTCTGCACAGTAGCTAATTTTAAATACAGAGCAAGTGAGGGTCTTTGTGTATCTGAAGTAAAAAATGGAGCATTTGCAGGGCTGGATTTCTAAATTTCTGTGCTAAATCAATACTGTTCTTCATCTCTGTGCACAACTCCCAAAGAGAGGAGTAGCAGTGGATAGAGGACAGCATATGACAGTAGGATCCATTTAAATCTTGTTCCACACAGCGCAATTATATTAAATCTTGGCTTCATTAAAGTCTATGCTGAAATTCTTGTGAACTTCAGCTCATTCACCATTTCAGCCAGAGAGTGTAGAACTGTAATTTGAATTAAATCTAAGAGAAATTCTTGCCCCAGGTGCCTGAACTAGGCGTGTTTCTATTTACCAGCTCACAGAGGAGTATTGCCCGTTGTAACCACGCAAGTCGCATGGATAAATGAGCTCTGTTCCCTGGCCACATCTGAATTCAGTGAAGCCGTTGTTTCCCCCCAAAGTAAAAAGAGAGTTTGTCTGTGCCAATCCCCGCACTGGTTTAGAGAGAAAAGAAGCATATCCCTAACTATGCATATCTCTCAGTCAGAATATACATCTTGAATCCAAACTTGTGCTAAAATTAATGGAGAGACTGATGTATTTCTGGTATAAAAATTCAGAAGGACAATCAGTATCTTCTCTTTTGCTTCAGTCATTTGCCATGTTTAAGCTATTCGAAAGCAATATTTACTTCATATTTCTAGTTTCTCAGAGTAAATATAATCTGAAACATCTGGAAAATCCTTATACGCTAGTCACGCTGAAGTAATCCTCAGGGGGGTTGTGAGCATGCTTACTGGCTCGAGCAATGTTTTGGATCCCTGTCCTCTGAATTCGATAGAAAGCAAAATGTAGTATCATTTTACTTAACCCCACAGTATCCGGACCAATACAGTAAGCACTCTGCAAAATACATTGCGCAAGATACGTCACAGGTTCAGTGAGTGAAGACATTTAGCTTCTATTGAAATGAGACTACGCCAACTTCAAAAAGTTGGTTCCAATACATTTTTTTCCCGTTCCACAGCAAACAGTTAGTTTTATGAAAAACTGATTCTTCTGAGATCCGTCCCCAACTGTATAAGAAAAACTGCTCTTCAAAAGCAATGTGAAAACTGGTATGGCAGCATGAAAGTTAAAATGAATGGCAAAGTTCCCAAGAACTAAACTGGAAGCAAGACACTTTAATGATTTCAAAGGAGATGCATAGCATTAATTGTGGTCCTAAGAACGATCTCTCTTTTCTAAACACAGCGCTAAGAACGGCAGGATTTCGAAACGGCAGTTTGGGAAGCCGACCTAGTGCTCCTTTTAGAAGCAATGTTTATCAGCCAACTGAGATGGCAGTTGTGCTAAATGGTGGGACTGTAAGTATCAAAATGTGATGATTTAAGAAATCTTTGATATGCACTGATATATAGAACCACTGCTAATTGAAAAACCTGCTTTTAGCTTATTTGCAGCAGGGGGGAAAAGCTATAAATCAAAACTGGGGCAGCAAGTATGCATGTAATGCTTCCCTTCCCTCTAGAAAAGATGTAATTACAAAGTATTTTGCGTTTCTTTCCTTGGCTGTTCACATTTTGCAGTGTAGCTTGAGTGAACCAAGTTTTTTTGTGAGACTACATATTCAGTAGCCCTTTCAAATTAAATTTGTGTTAAGGTATTTAACAAAACTATTAAGTGACACAATTTCTAACCTGATTTTTTTTTTTCAAGATTATGTGAGTCACACAAACGTTTACAGGCCAGTACATTACTTTAAATAAGAATCATTGTTGCCGATAGTGGTGGTCTCTCACATATCCTCCATTTTCTTGTAAAATGTATGTAATTCTTTGTAAGTTACAGATGTGTACATCTCTGGGAAAGGGATTCCTAAAAGAGGAATATAGAATATTTTAATGCTAAGAGCATTGATTTTTCTTTCTTAGACAATAGTTTGGCATGCCATTCTTTGATAGACCTGTTTTTCTGCAGCCTGGTTGTTGTAAGAATGGCTTAGTGATCTGACGCCAAACAGACTTTCTAAATGTTTTTCACATGATGTGTAATTTGCACTTGAAGGCATTTCATATAGCAGGCATACTGTTGAAAAAGAAGAATTTTCATCCCCATATTTTTTCATGCATACCTACATGCTTCTTAAAAATCTACCCATGAGCCAGTTTATACTCATGTGAGTTGGGTTTTCTTTATTTTGAATCATGAGCTGATTCCATAACTCAACCTCTACATTTAAAACCAAATAATGTGAACTGATTGCAGGTCTCTTTCTGTTTTTAAATAAGTGAAGTTTTGGTTGATTTTAGTGAACAAGAGGGACTAGATACAAGGATTCTCCTGTGTGGGTAAGACAATGGGAAACATATCAACTTGAATAAAATGAAAAGGCTTGTGCTTTGCTGTCAGTAATGAAAAGCATCCTTCAGATGTTTGGATTCATCTATGCCTCTGTTTTCTGATACCAGAAAATGCAGCTCAGGGAAAAGGCAGTTTAAGGATGAGAAGCTAGAGAATTTGATTTGGGGTTTGTTTGTTTGTTTTGCTTTGTTTTGAGGTGGATACAAAGCTTAATGGAGAACATCAGATAGTAAAATGAGAGATTAATGTGTATATACAGTCATGGTTTTTACAGAGAGGTAAATGTACTGTATGGGTGGAAGATGAGGTTTTTTTGTGTCACTTTGCTCTGGAACTACTGTCTGGAAAGCTGTCATGTACATGTAGCATGATAACACTCATTTTTGAACAGACTAGATCTCTCAGCTATGGGTTTATTATCCTTATTTCCAGATACCAACTGCTCCGCCAAGTTACACTGGACGACACCTCTGGTGAAAGGCTATAGGCTGTAGAGAATAAGAATCCTTGTTGCAGATGTTGTTCCCTGGCAGTGTGTCTTTGAGGGAGGAATCCATAAGCAGTACCAGAACAAAGCAACAAAACATCTAGGAGCTTTTGAAATCCTACAGAGGATTTTGTCTAAATGTGAACACCATTGAACTGATAATTGCAACAACATTGTAAAACTGAAGGTGAATCTAATTTAAAATAGAAGTAGGCACACCTTAAACTGGAAGAGGGGGATTTGTATTCTGAAATGTAAGATACTCTGTCTGTAACTAGTGTGCGAGGCAAGCCTGTTTTTGTTGGTTGCCAGTTGCTTGCAAAATACCCCCCCCTCACCTAAACTTAATTCATGTTGCCACAAGAGATTGCCACTACAGTGTGAAAACATGCAGGATTTCTTTCCATTTTGCTCCCTTTCCCCTCATTTCAAACGTCATGAAAAGTACCTTGTCTGCTTCATTACCTAGCTGTACTGTACAGTCACAAAGCATCACGTGTAGTCAAGCATTGTCACTCGGTGGCAACTAAATTGCCATTACACCGTAGGCTGATACTCTTCTCTTTAAAAAGCTGGTGTAGGAAATGCAGTTCTGGAGGGTTGAAAGGTCTATGCATGTTTCACGCGAGTTATGGAGCTTCTCGAGGCAGAGAGAAAGCGTAGGTCCAGCACGGAGGCAGCTCTCCTCGGCCGCGTGGGATCCATTCCCCGTTATTCCAGCCTCAAGCCCGGGCGCGAGCAAAGAGCCGTGCGCTCTCCCGTCTCCTACTTCTGCAAAGACTTAGCTGGGGAGAGAACGTGACTTGAGTGTGCCAGAAGGAGTTTGTTGTGATGGTGGATTAAAGGCAACCCGCTGTACTGCCTGAGCCAGCCTGTTCTGCTGGGCTGATCTTCTCAAGCAGGAAAGCGGTGGCAGCTGAGAAGTACTGACCACCTTTCGGGGGAAACGCAGCAGCAGATAGGGTCAAGACCTTCCTTTCTAATCCCTGTTCATATGAGTAGTCCCCTTGACTGCAGTTGTTTGTGCATTTAAATGTGGTTGTGCGTTTAGTGCCTAGCTAGTAGAATCTCCGTGCTGGAGGTGGTTTGTTGTTGGTTTTGTTTTTCTTTTTTAAGGTGGTTTCTTCCTTCCTCCTCCCCCTCCCCTGCACTTTTTTGAGTTGATATAAGGCAGACTTTCTCAAAGCTTTTTATCTTTGTTTTCGCCAGGTTATTTAAAAGGTTCCCATTGCCCATTGTTTGTGCCATGGTTTTTCATTATGTTTAAGCAATCATTCCTTTATTTAACATTTAATACATATCGGACATAGAAAACATTATTGTATCCTCACTGTTTGGCCAATGTTAATCTTAGCTTTCCTTGATACTAAAAGCTAATTGTTTTTACTTGAGGGCATAGGAAACGTATAACAATTAAACTTTGCATATGCTGTAATAAAAATATATATTTTCAAACTAAAAAAAATATAATGTACAAATAACTGAATAGCTTAGTAGCTTCATGGAAAGAAGTTACTTGCTGTATACTGCAAAAGAAAGACAAGCTTTTTATTTTTCAAGAGTCTTCCTGATTCTTCATGTACCTCCATTTCTACTGAATTAGGAACCTAGTCCTGCAGACCTGTACACCCACGAGTAGTCCCGTCGACACCAGTAGGTCTACATACAGGTACAGAGGCTGCAAGACCAGTCCCTAAGTGTTGCACACAGATATATACGTGTATATATATAGAAAAAATATATATTGCCATTCTTGCCATGATCATCTTATGGGGTTTTATTTCAAAGCCCTTCTCTGCCAGAAGCAATGTTTTTCTGTCATGCATGAGTAAAGGAGTATGTTAGTTCCCCCCTGCCCTTCCCTCCTTGAGGCAAAGGAAGCATGTGCTTGTTTTAGGGATTGCTCATTTTATTTTGTAACTAACTAGATGGCCTTAGTAACCAAGTAGGGTAGGGGTGGATATTGCATGCTATCCATTGACTTAGAAATACATTTTGCTTGTTTTAAGCAAAGCTTTGATCAAATAAGATAGTATTTAAGATAATGGTAGTTACCCAGAAGATGCATCATTTGGAACAATAAAAAACCTATTACCATCACTTGCCTGCAGAATTTTGCTTTTAAAAAACAATTAAAAAAAAACCCCTCATAAAACTCTATTGTAAAAACATATAAGATGACCATGGCATAAATGGTAGGACAGCTTTCTTTTAAAAAGTTTATCATGCTACAACCAAGACTTATGAATTATAATACACATTTTACAGACCTTTGACAAAATCTGTACAAGATATAGTTATCTTAAGAAACATTTTTTTCTTTTTCTAGATGTGACTGAACTAAATAGAGTTCCCAATCCTGCTCCTGATGAAGTTGTTTAGAATTTGAGGCCTTATGCAAAGATATGGCCAGATCTACAAACTGCTACTCACGGGACTAGTCCCACTGGGTTAGTCATGTGGACTATTCACAAAATTAAAAATTAGCAGGATTGGGTTTAATTTGTGGTGGTGAAGGTGTGGCAATAGATTAGGAGGGTCTTTATTTTCCAACTTTATACAAGTAGTAATAAGCAACTTTGTTTTTGTAACTCACTAGTCGGTGATGTAAAATGCCCCAAATAAAACTGTAATTGAAGAAAGGCACCTTTATGTTAACTTATATTTTTGTTACAGTAAACAAATTGTTTACTTTTCGCCTTTTATGAAAGTTATCTAGAATGTAGAGCATCTGTGAACAACATAGTAAGTAAGCACAAGCCTTTCGCAGTTCAGTTATTTATAATTAGCTTTTATACTATAAAAGCTACTATGTTGTCCCTTGATGGTTATGTGCTCATGGTGTTTCCATGCAGAAAAATGAAATTGTAAAGCATCTGAAAAAACTATTACTGAAACAAGATTTATAATAACTGGCTTTTGATTAATGGCTGGAAAAAAGTTCAAAGCCATACTTTAAAAATCCTGTCCTGCTTTCAGATGAGTTGAGGGTGATTGACACTTGCCAGAAAATATGTAGCATCTTCAGAAGAACACTCTCAATACATAGTTGTTTCTATAAACAAGGTACATGAAATACTATAGAACTAGATGTTTCTCTTTTTAGTCTAAACACGGGCATCTTGGTTGGCTTTGTTAGAGCTTGATGCCTTAGGTCTAACCAAAGGCCATGCAAAAGGGAGCATTGTAGCTTTTATAATAAAACAATTGGACTATTCTACCAACTTACAGGATTACAAAGCAGGTGCTTTTTATTAATTGATGAGAGCTAAAGCTCATTTTTGATAGATAATATATATTTATTAAATGTATTAATGTGTGTTTTATAACGTACCCTTTTTTCCGCTGATTGTTGCATACTGGTATCTTATTAAGTACATCTTTAAAGGATTTTCAAGACAATCAATGTGTACCATGATGACTGTACATAAATATACAAAACTACAAAGGTTGTAAAGCATGGGCAAATGTTTTATTTTCAAAATGCTGTTCTTAACGAGAATAAAGGCTTTACTATTTACTTACAATGTTTGTGTTAACTTGGTGTTAAAATCTACCTAAAATTTTTCCATTACAGTAAACTGATGGTGCTACAGACAGCATTGTCCTGTGGTGATACCGTGGGTACAATTCTGCAACATAAGCTAGGTTAAACTGACGGAAACCGGCTTCTAGGGGCTAGGGCCACATTCTTCCACCTTTGGCCACATTCCCACATTTACCCTTAGCTCTGGCACCTATCAAACCCAAAGCCAGTCAAGGAGCTGAGCAGCCAAACCCTTAACACTACAAGTGATATTTTTTTTTTTTTCCAGTTGGCTCAGCAGTTTTCCTGTATTGGCTCAATTGCTAGTGCTTGTGAAAAGGAGGGGATAGGATCATACAGCTGGGATTGAAGAATGCAGGTTGGGAGTTTTTTCTTTAAATGGTTTGATTTTCCTGATCTGGTGCAACAACCAGCATCACCAACCAGGAAAAAAATGAGGGGTGGGTACTGGTATAACAGTGAAGACAAAGTCTGTGTAAGTGATGGAAGAACTGAACCACAGCAAGAGCTAGAGAATATCCATGTTTTATCATGCTTTCATTCAAAACAACTAGACCTTTGTTTGACTTGTATGGAATTGTGAAATTATAAAGGCCTAAGTAGGACTATGCTTGACAAGACTGAATTAAAAAATAATGAGGGCTCCTTAGCAGGGGGCCCAATCTGATTTTTATTCTGCTTGCACCTTATGTAAGTAAGGACACATACACAAGATCGCTGAAAATGCTATCACTGTGATCTTAATTTTACACTTTCAGCACATGTGCTAAGTGGTAACAAAAGGGCCTTTGACTTTTCCCCCTGCAGAAATGCAGAGCAACCCTAGCTCTCACTGCCTTCAGTTGGAATTGCAGAGGCACAGTGTTTCTGAAAATTAGACTGTTATGAACAGAGCCTGCATTTGTGTAAATTGTCACAGCCCTGCAGAAGTCAGTGAAGCTACTCTAGTTCATGCTAAATAAAGATTTTTGCCTTAGTTTTAACACTTGCCTACATGGGGCTGTAACCCTGTTTATTTTGTCCAGAGCTTTGTCCCTATCAGAAAAGATTGCAACTGAGCATTCAGGAACACAAGATAAACACAGACTCAAAATTTTTGGCTAAATGTGCACAATTCCATCTGTTTTAACAGAATTGTGCTCACTTACTTACTTACACTAGGACTGAATTTTGTGTTGGCATGCTGAGTTCTTACATAATCTCCCTTTGATTTACACCACCTCACATGTAAAAGTAAAACTGTAATACTAAGAGTGTTACTAAATCAGTACCACAAAGTTTATTCCATGAGCGCTGTGTTCCGTGATACTGGTGAGAAAACTAAAATCAAGCTATTGAATGATTTTGTGTATGTTCTTCTGATTCTTCTGATTTGTTTCCCACTGCAACCATACAAAATAAAACATTAAATACTTAACTTTCCAAAACATCCACAGAAACAAA